CCCCTTCATCATAAATGAGTGCTTTTAAGGGTCCACTGTTCTGGATTGATTTTTTTTTTCTCTTAGGACTTGGGCTATTTTGCCATTCTCTTCTAGCCTGTAGGGTTTCTGATGAGAAGTGAGCTGTGAGTCTAGTTGGAGATCCTCTGAAAGTAATCTAGCATTTCTCTCATGCACATTTTAGAATCTTTTCTTTATGTTTTGCTGTGGAAAGTTTGACTGCAATGTGTCATGGTGAAGATCTTTTCTGGTCATATCTACTAGGAGTTCTGTGTGCTTCCTGTACTTGGATGTCCCTTTCTTTCTCCAAATTGGGGGATTTTTCTGTAATTATTTCACTAAATAGGCCTTCTAGCCCATTCTCTCTTTCCAGACCTTTAGGTCCTAAGATCCATATATTGGGTTAGTTGATAGTATCCCATAATTCTCCAACACACGGGTTTTAAATTTTCTAATTATTTCTTCTTCTTCTTTTTTTTTTTTTGTCTTACTGAAAGATTTCCAAAGATTTTCCAAAGATTTGTCTTTTAGCTAGGATATTCTTTCTTCTGCCTCACCATGTCTGTTGTTACGGCTTTCCACAACATTTTTTATTTAATCTGTTGGATTCTTCTTTCTGGTATTTTATTTTGATTTCTCTTTGAAGTCTCAGTTTCATGGGAAGATTTTTCATTTATGCCATGTAAGGCTTTCTTTAGTTTGTAGATTTGCTTCTGATTGCTTTTGAGTAATCGTGTGATTAATCCTTTGAATTGCATTTCCAGCATTTCATCAGTTTCTTCATCTTCTTATTTCTAATATTGAAATGCTGCTGTGTTCCTCCTCGGGGGTGGTCATGATGGCTTCCTTATTCTTGTTCCTGGAATTTCTGCATTTATTTTTAGGCATTTGTGGAGTTTCTTTATGGTTTTTCCCTCTGATAACTTTTATCCTTGAACTATCCCTCTGTGGCTTGGTAGAATGCACTCTCAGTGAATACCAAGAGGTGTGTGCTGGATGTGGCTAGGGAACTCTGCTAGTACTCTATGGTAGGGCGAGTATTCGGGATTACTGCCAAGTTGGGCACGGTAGATCTCTTGTTAATAGAAGGGGGCAATGGTCACCTCTGTTGGTGTGGGCACACCCTCACCTCCTGTGCTGCAAGCTGAGCAATGCCCAGGTGTTGGCCCCCAGGGGATCAACACTCATCCTCACCGCTGTATGAGCTGCACAAATGCTACGTGCAGTCCTCACTCTGAGCGAGAATCTGCTGCAGTGACCTGCCCCAGGCAACCAATGAGCTCCGAGCATGTGGAGCCACAACTGGAGATTGCCCAGAGCCCAGCTGTACCCTGCACCCTCTCATGTAGCCACCTAATCCCCACAGTCTAGCACACAAACTTCCGCAGTCGCTGAGTGTAGAGATTCTTCTTTTCTCTGCCAGCCTGTCCAGTCCACTGAGAGGCAGATGTTCCCTGAGCCAGCTGTGCCTAGGCGGCCTGTGGTGTGTGGGAGGCAGGGGTGCCTTAGAGTCCCACCTGGGTGCCCAGCCACCTGTCAGTTCTCCCCATCAGGCTCAGAGTCACTGAGACCGCGGATTCTTCTCTGGCTCACATGCGTACATGGACGTTGCCCTTTCCCTGCCACTGCTACCAGTACTGCCTAGAACATGATGTCCTCTCTCATCCAGTTCCTGTGTATGTGTGCAAGCCCAAAATGGCGCCCACCCTCTCTCAGCGGGGCAGCAGGTGCCATGGTGGTGAAGATGGAATGAGACAAACCTGCCTCTTTTACTTGCACTGGGCTGCGGGTAACTGCTCAGGGCTCTCCCTTTGGTTTCATCACCACGGTTGCTGTAGCCTGGTCTCATCTCCGTCTCCAAGCTGCCACCAGCTCCGGCTCACAGCTGCTGACACACAGGTCTACAGGGCTCCTCTTTCTCTTATAGGACTTCCAGTACTATTTTCTCTCCAATCCTCCCCTGAGAGTACACTTCCTTACAATTTTCTGTAAATGAGAGAAGATCTCTTTTACTATTTATCCCTAGCCTAGTGCACTATGCCATTCCCTTCTGCCATCTTGGAATTCCATTATATGTTTTCTAGAACTTTAGATTCTCCAATGGATTTTAGACTAGAAAAGAAATCTAGACTCTCTGGTGAATTTTATAGTCTTCAAACTGTGTGACAATACATTTGATTTTTTTAAAAGATTCTATGTATTTATTTGAGAGGTAGAATTACAGACAGTGAGAGGGAGGATGGAGAAAAGGTCTTAGATCCACTGGTTCACTCCCCAAAGGGCCACAGTGATCAGAGCTGAGTTTATCCAAAGCCAGAAGCCAGGAGCTTCCTCTCGGTCTCCCACCTGGGTACAGGGGCCCAAGGACTTGGGCCATCCTCTACTGCTTTCCCAGGCTGTAGCAGAGAGCTGGATCGGAAGAGGAGCAGCTGGGACTCGAACCAGCGCCCATATGGGATGCCGGCACTGCAGTTGGAGGATTAACCTACTGCACCACAGCGCCAGTTCTAACATATTTGATTTTTACAAAACAAAATATATTTTTGAGGAGTCACTGATTATACTTCTGATTTCAAGAAGGTTTCTCTCTCAGTCCATTTCTTATATATTGCCTTAACATGTGCCTTAGTAAATTATAAACCCGATGGTCACTGACATTGTGAAGAAAGCACAGTTTGAGGGGCTCGAGCTCATTCCTGTACACTCTGCTCTCCTGTAGTCATTCTCACACACTTCCTTGCCCTTGTAGCTCAGTGTCTTAGGGGTTTCTTTGACACTTGGAGAAAGGTGTACATTACTCCATATTGATGCTTCATGCACAGAAATGTGAATCTGGTGGGTCAGATGTTGCTAGCAGGGCAGGCTGCTTGCTGTTGAAGATGAATTGCCCGTTCTGCCCTCCAGGTGACTTCTGAGCTAATGATGTATGGGAGTGTTGTAGGACACAGATGCTGGGGTGAACACAGTCCCAAGCAAAGTTTCTCAAACCAGGGGAGGGGCTGATGTGACTGACAGGACCTGATCTATCGTTACTCCCTCTGGCACCTGCTTTCATGTACAACACACTAGGGTCCTCTGGAATATAGAACCGTGTACACACCCAAAGGTGTAGCAGGTGAATGGAGGAATAGCAGCATCAACTTAAAACAACTGTTAGCCTTTGAAATGTAAGAGTATAAAAAGGATGTACTGTTGGGGCCAGCGTTGTGGTGTAGCGGGTAAAGCTGCTGCCTGCAGTGCCGGCATCCCATATGGGCACAGGTTCGAGTCCCAGCTGCTCCACTTCTAATCCAGCTCTCTGCTGTGGACTGGGAAAACAGTAGAAGATGGCCCAAGTCCTTGGGTCCCCGCACCTGCGTGGGAGACCCAGAGGAAGCTCCTGGCTCTTGGCTTCGGATCAGCACAGCTCCGGCCTTGGCAGCCAATTGGGGAGTGAACCATTAGATGGAAGACCTCTCTCTCTCTCTGCCTCTCCTCTCTCTGTGTAACTCTGACTTTCAAATAAATAAATAAACCTTTAAAGAAATGATGTACTGTTAAAATATAAAGGACATGTTTATAAGGTTCAAAATATCATCTGATAAACACATTTGCAGTTTTTCCACAAAGGAAGTTTTCATTAGAATAGAGATTCATACAGTGTTTGTCATCATACTGCAAATAAGATGACCAATTTTACTCACAATATTTAACTCTGATTTATATAGTTTTGTGACATTTCAATATTGTGATAGTTTGAAATTTATGTCTTTGAAAAACACTTCAGCACTTCTTTTTCTTTATATTCAGACTCTTTCAAATTCTAGGTTAGATTTTATGAGTTGTGTTTATGGTTCGATTTATGAGTTACTTAAGATAAAAAGTGGGTTTATCCCTTAAGAATGAAGATGTATCTTAGGGCCAGTGTGTGGCATAGCAGGTAAAGTCATCTCCTGAGATGCCAGCACGCCAAATGGGCACCAGTTCACGTCCCAGCTGCTCCAAGTCCAGCTCCCTGCTAATGGCCTGGGAAAAGCAGCAGAGGATAGCCCAAGAGCTTGGGCCCCTGCTATCCATGTGGGAGACCTGGACGAAACTCCAGACTCCTGGCTTTGGCCTGGTCCAGCCTTAGCTGTTACAGCCATCTGGGGAGTGAACCAGCAGATGGAAGATCTCCCTTTCTCAGTCTCTTCCTCTCTTTCTGTAAGTCTGACTTTCGTATAAAGAAATAAATCTTTTTAAAAATGTAGATGTGTCTATCCTTTCTGACCAAAGAACACTGGAGAGGAGGAGGCAGGCTTAACAAGCAAGATGAGATGCTGGCCCAAGGTACAGTGGCTGTTTGTGTGCAAAAAGCTGGAGGGGCAACTCGAGCAGAAAGAGAAGGAAAACGCGGCTCAAAAAACTAGTTTATTTTGATATTCAAAAGCTATTGCCACTCTGCAATAACAGTTTCAAGAAATCCACATAATTTCTTTTCAATTCTTATTACCATACATCTTTTTGTCCACATCGCACTGATAAGCTGATCAACTTGACATGTGTCCAGATCAACATGGATCTGTTGCAGAAAGTAAATGGTGATTGATTTTAAGGCATAAATAATTTTCAGTTTATTGCTGTTATTTTGTTTTAAGATTTTATTTATTTATTTGAGAGGTAGAATTATAGACAGTGAGAGGGAGAGGCAGAAAGGTCTTCCATCCGCTAGTTCATTCCCCAGCTGGCTACAATGGCCAGAGCTGTGCTGATCTGAAGCTGGGAGCCAGGAGCTTCTTCCAAGTCTCCCACGTGGGTGCAGGGGCCCAAGGACTTGGGCCATCTTCTGCTGCTTTCCCAGGCCATAGCAGAGAGCTGAATTGGAAGTGGAACAGCTGGGACATGAACCGGTGCCCACAGGGGATGCTGGCGCCTCAGGCAGAGGATTAATCCACTGTGCCACAGCATCGGCCCCTATTGCTATTATTTTGATACCGCATTTAACCATTTGTATATGACTGTTGACTTTTCTTGTTCCACAGGATTGCCATCGGCCAGTTTGGCTGCCCCTAACCTCACTGTGGAGGAAGGAAAATCCATCACGTTGTCCTGTAACGTGGCAGGTGACCCGGTTCCTAATCTGTACTGGGATGTCGGTAATCTGGTTTCCAAGCACATGGTAAGACTTGGGCTTGGCTCTCTCTGTGTGAGTAGAGAAGACAATAGGTGTTTCAGAACTCAAGATTGAATTAAGCCTCATGATGCTCATTTAATAGTTTACATGGAAATTTATAAGTTTATTTATTCTTAACCAGCAAAGATTCATGCTGGCTTGCATTGTAGTTATAAACTGGGGACTCTTTCTATCCCGGATGACCTCTTTGTGTGAGTGAGCAAGGTGAATGACTCTGCTTGTGGCATTTTCCCTTTGAGAGAGGTAGATGGGAATTCAAGGATTAAGTGAGCTTCACACAGTATGCACTTTGTACCTAGATCAAGACAATATCAATAACAATGACAATGACTGCCTCTGGCCTGAGTTTGATTCAAGCAAGAAGCTTTTCTGATTATATCTATCTTTATCTCTACTTATAGATAGATAGATGGGGGAAAAAGACCCTCCATATCTTGTTGTTGGGTGTGAATCCTAATGAATGTTTTTGTCTGTTCATTCCATTGTAGAACGAAACGAGCCACACCCAGGGCTTTTTAAGGATCACTAACATCTCATCAGATGACAGTGGAAAGCAGATCTCCTGTGTGGCAGAGAATCTTGTGGGAGAAGATCAAGATTCTGTCAACCTCACTGTGCACTGTACGTGAGCAGACGGGCATGTGTGTTTAATCTCGAGTGATTGTGGGCATCCACATTTGTCACTGGGGCACTAGGGTGCTGCTTCAACTTATCTGCAAAGTCTCTGCAGTGTGCTGTGCATACTTAATTAGGAAAGGTTGCCAGTGGTTTCAGCCTCTTCCTCTGTTCTCTTTTGGTTCTGTCTCGTGCTCATACCCAATCACGTTTGAACTTCTCTGTGCACCTTTGTCTTTGTGTGTCTTCCCTGGTCTTTTTCTAATAGAACGTGTATTAGGAGGTCATTATTTCCTCTTGCTAATGTTGCAGCTTAGATTCTGATAAACTAGTTTCTTAAGTCCTTTTCCTCTATAAAAGCCAATGAAACTTTAAAGTTGTGATACCTAAAGCATCGGTGGTTCTTTACAAGTGTATTAATTGTACTACTAATTCAATCAACCTCATTCGTTTGGTGTCTGAGAGAAGAAGAGAGGGGATACCTACTTCAATTACTCAAAACTCAAGCTACTCAAAGCTCAGACCAGGAACTCAATCCTGGTCTCCCTTGTGGGTGGCAATTCCCAGGGTGCATGTTTCCAGATGGATGGAGCTGGGTGCAGAGCTGAGCACTGGGCCCAGACACTCTGATATGGGATGTACATCTCAACTGGCACCTCCACGGCCAGGCCAGATGCCCGCCCCACGGCATGCATCTTAAAGTTCCAGACCGCGATGTTCAGTGCGAGCACACACTCAGTGAATATCACAGAGATCACAGAGGTCTGTCACGTCACTGCCAGTTCTGAGCTGTTGTGAAGTAATGAGGTGCTATGCTGTCGGGTTAGCACGTGGATGAGAAAACACTGCACATGTGTAGAGACAGGCCTGCAAGTACGTCATCTCCACATACATACAACTTTTACTTACATGCTGTTTTACACCCCAAAGATTATTGTAAGAAGCCTTTGAGAAATCCATGACAAAGAGAACAATTAAACTTAGCAAATTTAATTTTTTTTTTTAATTTTTGGACAGGCAGAGTTAGACAGTGAGAGAGAGAGAGACAGAGAGAAAGGTCTTCCTTTTTCCATTGGTTCACCCCCCAAGTGGCCACTACGGCCAGCACATTGCAGCTGGCACACTACGCCGATCCGAAGCCAGGAACCATGTGCTTCCTCCTGGTCTCCCATGTGGGTGCAGGGCCCAAGCACTTGGGCCATCCTCCACTGCCCTCCCGGGCCACAGCAGAGAGCTGGACTGGAAGAGAAGCAACCGGGACAGAATCTGGCGCCCTGACCAGGACTAGAACCCGGTGTGCGGTCGCCACAGGCGGAGGATTAGCCTAGCGAGCCATGGTGCTGGCCAGCAAATTTAAATTTTACAGTACTGTATTTCTTAAGATGGGGGACAGTTTGCATCGGCCGAGTTGAGTAACTGCAAGCTCCAGTGTGAGGACTTTCCTAGGCAGCTGGGACTCCCCAGAATGGGGATGTGAAGGAGGTTGATGTGTGTGTTCTGCTTTGTCTTGAGTCAGATCTGAGCACGGGCAGGGCACTGTTGGATGTTCTGCTTGCTCACGCTGCACTGTGTGACCGGACGCGAGTGTTTCCTCCGTTTGGGTTAGCATCCATGGGAGCACCATGATCTGGAGAATGGACTTTAACTGTCGAAGTGTAGATACATAGAAATAATGAGGGACTCAGACGGTTAACAACTGGGACACCCGTTGCAAGGGCCAACTCAGAGTGTGTCCCGCCCTTAGCATGAAGTGAGCAAGCGCCCTCAGGAAGCAGTGAATGGAAGGGCTACCTTTATCAGGCACAGGGAGGCCTGGCCTCCTGTTCCAGAGCTGCCTCCCTGTAACCCTGGTCAGTCCTCTTCACCTTCCTGGACTTTGCTTTCTTCATCTGGAAAACGATGCTGGTTAGATCTCAGGGGTCTTTTCCAGTCCTTGGGGTTTATGATGATCAAAGTCAGACCACATTAAAATTAAAAAAAAAATGATGAGCTCTTTTCAACACATCCATTCAGGATAAATATTCTGCTAAAAAGATACTCTTTGTTTTGTTTGTTTTCTCAAGTCATAAAGCACTTTATACAAAGTAGAAGGACTCTCTAGTCTGTGTAAGCTTAAGTTGAATCTCAGACATTTAAAGGATCTAAACAGTGACATGTAGAACCCTAGCAAAAATGGATCATGCTAGAATAGGCTGCTTGTAAGGAATATTTGATATTAACAAATGTAAGAAGTATCAGTTTATCATACTTTCTAATACTCATTCTGCATGAGCAAAAGCATTCGTCGCCCTGATCAGTTTGATCTGTTTTAGATATGTGGGATCAGGGCTTTAGCTAAAACTTCTAAAGTCAGTTTTTTGGTTATTTGTATTATTTGGAAAAGAAGCCCTATAAAAATAGTGGCTCTCCTTATTTCTGGATATATATCAAATATATACAATAGTGACAAGGTGTATGTATAGAAACCAAAGTAAAACTCACACGAACCCTTTCCACTGTCAGAAATCTCTGGGCTGTTTGGGTTGGTTCTCACTTAGACTGAAGAGATTTGAAACATAGCTGTGTCTCATGGGTCTTGACTAGAACAGAGAAGGAGGTCTTAAACTCTGTAGGAAACTGAATCAACCAGTCAACCCTGATGATACAAAATACCAACAGATTTCAAAGTTGCTGGTTATGCGTTTTTTGTTTGTTTTTAAAAGATTTTATTTATTTGCTAGAGAGGTAGAGTTACAGACAGTGAGAGGGAGAGACAGAAGGAGAGGTCTTCTGTCTGTTGGGTCACTTCCCAAATGGCTGCAATGGCTGGAACTGTGCCAATCTGAAGCCAGGAGCCAGGAGCCTCTTCCTGGTCTCCTACGTGGGTACAGGAGCCCAAGGATTTGGGCCATCCTTCACTGCTTTCCCAGGCCATAGCAGAGAGCTGGACTGAAAGAGGAGCAGCTGGGACTAGAACCGGCGCCCATATGGGATGCCGGCACAGCAGGCGGAGGATTAACCTGCTCCGCCATGGCTCTGGCCCCAGGTCACGCATTTTCTTCCACTCAACAATGGTTGAGTGAAATCCTCTGTCAGTGACACAGAAGTCTGGAGACGGAGAGAATGCTGAGCTTCTGATGCTGTCAACTCTCTCTCTTTTGTCGATTTAGTTGCACCGACGATCACATTTCTCGAATCGCCCACGTCAGACCACCACTGGTGCATTCCGTTCACTGTGAAAGGCAACCCCAAACCAACACTGCAGTGGTTCTATAACGGGGCCATCTTGAATGAGTCCAAGTACATCTGCACTAAGATACATGTAACCAATCACACGGAGTACCACGGCTGCCTCCAGCTGGATAACCCCACCCACATGAACAATGGAGACTACACTCTGATAGCCAAGAACGAGTATGGGAAGGACGAGAGACAGATTTCTGCTCACTTCATGGGCTGGCCCGGCATTGATGATGGTGAGTACCGCGTGCTTTCCTATGTGGGGAGAGGACAAGCCATATCACACTGTCCAGACTGGTCACTTACAGTGCTATTACTTAGTCTTGCTCGTGAGTCTATAGGGCAACTGGGGGGAGGGTGGTGGTCCTGTGTGTGTTTCTTCTGGGGTGCAGGGTGAGAAGTAGTAAGTGCTTTTTACGGAAAGTTCAGGATGCAGGGTGACAATGGCAGTAGACAAGGCTTCTTAAGGCCTAGGGTTAGGACTGGGCATTCTCTCTTCAGTCTGAACGCTGTCGGCCTAAGGAAGTTCTGGGGCCAAACCCATGTCGGGGCTGGGGTTTGTACTACTCCCAAGAAAAGCATGGGGAATGAACAATTTTGAGCAATAATACAATATACACAGTGTTACTAGTGTGCCTGTCTAGTGCATGGGAAAGGGGCTATGAATAGTCGTCTTAGTTTTCATCTCAAGTGTTTAATGCGACTTTGAATCTACAATGGCAAAACCCATACAAAACCCCAAGCAGATGGACTGTGGTTAGTTGGCCCCTGCAATGTTTCAGATCTGTCTTCCAGCCCCTCGCCTATTTGGAATGCAGGAGTCTGCATTCTCATCCATGAGTGAGAAGCTCGTATCTCAGACTCCTTTGCGTCTCTGGGCTACTCAGATGAGTCATCCTTTTATTAGCTTATGATTTGTTTTCCTTGATGTGGCGATAGTCCCTATCTGACCAATAGCGTGTTAGCATGAGGGGTCCACTCCGGGGCCAGCAGGTGAGCTTCAGTGTGAGTTCCAGTGTCAGTGGGACATTGTCAAAGATGAGGTGGCAGAGGAAGGGAGACTAGAACCTGGGGCTCTGTGATGCAGAGGATGCCTGGGTGGCCCGTACCTGCGTGGCTCAGTGTGGGACCATGGACGTGATTGCTGTGTGCAGAGCCGTCTTTGCCAAATGGCAAAGGCAGATGCAACCACTCCCGTGACGTATGTTCCTATGACACTGCCATCTACCCCAAACATCTTTGACAATGAGTACGCCTCCTTATGTGATTTGAATTATGTAAGTTTGACTTACAAACAGCCCTCCTGGAGTGCATACAAAGGAGCGGTGTTTGGACGCAGTGCCCAGACGTCCCTGGTGCTTGTTGTCATTCCCATGAAATCTTCCTCTTAGTTGAGAGTTGAGCTTGCATGGCTCTGTTAGTAAATCTCTGGATTAGTGCGTCTCTTCCTGTGCTGGAGGGTAGGACAGTGTCGCAGCAGAACCCAGAGACTCTGATTGGAGACAAGAACAGTGTCGCAGCGGAATCCAGAGACTCTGATTGGAGACAACTGCTCTTTCTTTGAACTTACGTGCACATTTTCTCTGTGAATCAATTTATTTATTTATTTATTTTTTTTTTAATATTTATTGGTTTATTTGAAAGTCAGAGCTACACAGAGAGAGGAGGAGAGGCAGAGAGAGGGAGAAGTCTTCCATCCACTGGTTCACTCCCCAACTGGCCACAACAGCTGAAGCTGTGCCAATCTGAAGCCAGGAGCCTGGAGCTTCCTCCGGGTCTCCCACACGGGTGCAGGGCCCAAGGACTTGGGCCATCTTCCACTGCTTTCCCAGGCCATAGCAGAGAGCTGGATTGGAAGAGGAACAGCCGGGACTCGAAGAGGAGCAGCCAGGACTCGAACCGGTGCCCATATGGGATGCCCGCACTGGAGATGGCAGCTTTACCTGCCAGGCCACAACATGGCCCGTGAATGATTTTAGGTCCACAGGAAAGTTGCAAGGCTAATCGAGTTCCTGGATACTTGCCTGCATAGCGTTGCCTGTCGTTGACAGCGTATGTTCCTGGGTGCATTTGTGACAATTAAGAAACTGACTTTAGTACATTACGACAAGGAGACTTCAGAGAGTTCATGAGAAAATAGAACTGAAAGAAAAATTTCGGCTCAGTCTCTTGGCCTGGCAGTTCAGATGGGGCTGAGATGTTGTGTCCTGTATTGATACGCGGCCCCAGCTCTGACTCCAGCTTCCTAATAATGCACGCTCTGGGAAGAAGCAGTGACGGCTCCTGGGTCCCTGCCACTTATTGCAAGACCTGCCCTGGCCATCAGGGACATCTTGGGAACAAACCAACAGATAGGAGCCGTCTCTGTTTGTCTCTCTGTCTGCCTCTCAAACAAATACTTTGAAAAGATTACTGGAGTGCAAAACAGTTTTTCAGAATGTATGTTTTTCATGAACTTTTGAAGTGCCCTTGTATTAATTAAACTTCAGACTTTATTTGAACTTCACCAACAATGGCCTTTTTTAAAATTGCTGGGGGTGAAACGTGATTCAAGGTGAAGATGTAGAGACTGAAATCTTTCAGGGCTGTGTGTCCTTTGATATATGCATTGCATGGCCAGGGTAAACCCAGGAGCTTCTATTTAGGATAGGGTTTTTGATGTGTTTTCTTTTGAACATTTCTACACGGTGCTAACACTTAGTAGAAGAACTCCTATCCATTCAACCTCATTTTTTACCTAGCATTTGTCTCTTAGCTTTTGTGTAGCTGGTGATGGCAGAGAATTGTTTTCTGGCATAGAATATCCCAGAGTCTTTGAACTCTTTTTAAAAGAAACATTTATTTATAAAAATTTAAAATAAAGCTAACTTCCGTAAAGATGTTCTTTTCACTCCTGTCTTTTCCTCTTCTTGTTCATTTATTCATTATCATTAGATCTTTGAAATGGAAAAATCTGTTTTTTTTTTTTTCTCGAAGTCTTTAGTCAAGGAGCAGCTCTCAAGGAGTCATAAATAAAAGTGGGAGTGAAGGAGATTTGGCCCATAGTGAAAGTGGATATAAATGGCCCTGGAGGGCCATAAACCAATGTGACCAATTAGAGAGTGACCTCATTCAGCTTGTGGGATGGAATCTTTGTGGGATTTATGAGATTCATGGTCGGTGCTACTGACAGTGGTCTTTCTTAGAATTGCTTCTTTTCCATCGTACTCCCATTAAAATGGAAGAAAAACAAACAAATCACGCACACAAATATATTTCCTGCTGACCCGAAGGTGCATTGCAGGTTAAGGGCATCAGTCAAGTCTGCCTTGGTACTCCTTCGGTATTTCTGCTACTGTCCTAATCCAGTCCATGGTGAAGCCATGGTGAAGCCATGGTGGAGCCTCTCACCTATCTTTCTGGCAAGACATTCCAGCTACATTTTCCCCTAAGGATTTTCCTTGAGATATTCCCTCCTCTCTGTCTTCCTCTTTTTTGAACACTGCAAGTTTCCTGGGAAGCAGGCAGCCTGGGCTCGCTGTGGAGCCACGTTCATTTCCACACAGAGCTGGAAGAATTGATATGGAATCTCTAGGGTCTTAGAGTAGGGCTTCCTCATTTAGTTTAGAACCATGATTTCTGTGATCTCACTTTGCTTAGGAACTTTTTTTTTCTTTAAGATTTCTTTGAAAGGCAAAGTTACAGAGAGGAAGAGAGAGGTGGGGAGAGAAAACATTCTTCCATCTGCTGGGTCACTCCCCAAATGGCCACAGTAATTGGCGTTGGTCCAGGCCAAAGCCAGGAGCCCAGAACTCCATCCAGGTCTCCCACATGGGTGTCAGGAGACCAAGGCCTTGGGCCATCTTATGCTTCTTTTCCCAGGCACATTAGCAGGGAGCAGCATCAGATGTAGAGCACCCAGGATTTGAACCAGTTATCGTGTGGGATACTGGTATTGAAGACGGCAACTTCCCCACTGTGCCACAATGCTGGACCCAGGAACACATCTTTAGTGACAGAGATGCAGAGTCCAGAGGCTCTAAACACAAAGAAGTTGATGAGGAGGTGGAAATGCCCACTGTCCTGACCTGATAATTCCATGTTGTCTACAGTGTTGAATGTCACACTGTACCCCATAAATATGAACAATCACTGTGTGTCAATTAGAAAGAAAACAGTTTTAAATTTTAGAAAGAAAAGGAAACATAAATAAAAATGAATAAACAAAAAAAATTGGTGGGCATGGAAGAAATGGAATGGTTGAAGTAATGACCCTACCATGTGGTATGGAGGGACTGCACAGGGTGGCAAGTACTCTGTGCCCTAAAAGGATGAAGCATAGGCCAGATAAACCTAGAGCCTGCCTTGGCCCCGGCCAAGAGGGCGTGAGGGTTGTGAGGTTATGAGATAGGTGTTCAAGAGAGCCAGCAAACCAGTATGCCTGGATATTCTCTCTCGGGGGTGTGGGGCCATGCACACCCCATCCCGGGCCCATCCAGAGGGGCTGAGGAGGAGGGCAGACCTTTGGGTGCCAACAGGACGCAGCGCGCTCCCATCTCTTAATCACTGGGAACCCTCCTGGTCACCGAGAAAGGTAGAATGGACTTTTCCGGACTCTGGATGCCAAATTGGTCATTTTGGCTCCCTCATTGAAGAGCTGAACTCAGCTCCTGTGAGTTTGGAGTTGTGTTTAAAGCACAGAGTGTGACTTTAAGCTTCACATTGAAATCTGGGGATCTGTAGTGCTTATCTTTGTAGCACACCAAAGAGCAGCCCTGTGACAATCACACCAGTTATTTTAGTATTGCTTCCATTGTCCCTATACAATGGGTTCATTCAGGTGAGTGCACCCTGGCTCCCTGAACAGTAGCTTCCTGCCCCTTTTTTTTTCACATCAGAACCTCTGAAGGTTTTTCATTTCATTTCATTTTTTCATACACATTCCCAAAGCCTGTCCACTTAGCAATTCTGATTCAGTGACTCTCAGCTTAGGCTCAGGCATTTTTGAAAAATGATTTCTAAGATCCCGAGTGATTCATTGAGAAACAGAGAGTGAGCATCTCCACTCCGAAGAATTCTGAGCTTTGTAAGGTTTTCCTGTTTCTGATTGAATAACAGAGTCCTTTGGTCATTTCAGGCTCATTTTATTTTTCTAAAGAATTATTTATTTATTTGAAAGGCAGAACAACACTCACAAAGAGAAACAGAGAGACAGAGAAAGAGGGAGGAAGAGAGATCTTCCATCCACTGGTTCACT